AGGCGCATTTGGAGTGTAACTCATGTGCTAGTAGTATTGTAGGCTTCTCAATCCTGTGGAATGTGTAATCCCACTAGGGTTGAGGATGGCAACTGCAAGAGAAGGCCAAGAGGGGCGAGTCACGTGTGGGTTCGTGTGCGTCAAAGGACGGGGAGCCACAAGCGTGAAGCGCCAGCCATTGTCATTCGTGGCGAGCCAGCTGGAAATGGGAAAACGGAGTGAAATCTCCAAACCCAAAAAAGAAAGGGATAAATCCGTAAGGCGTCATAGACAGACGCACGAATAGGGTGATAAAGTTCAAATTTGAAGAAAACCGGGAGTCATGCCGGAGAGAGAACACGTTGGGCCAGTGACAACCGGTAATAACGCGGCTAAAGAGAGGAGTAGAAGAACGGGAAAAAACCCAAATTTCGAAATGCGGGAGACGTAGAAAACATACGGGTTCCAACGCAGCGAAGAAAGGGGGAGGAGGGCAGACGCTGAAGAAGTGCGAACGGCCGGAGAGCTCACAAATCGAGCGTGTGGACGGTTGCACTGCAAACCGTGGCAAGCGATTCGAGAACATTTTTATCAATAGAAAACCAAGCGACCATGAAGACGTCTGGTGCAAGCGCCGGAGTTCCGAAAAAGAAGGGGGCGCCCAATGGCCCCAAAGAGAGTAGCGGGCACACGGGAGAAGGTAAGAAAGGGTCGTCGGAGGGCGATGACGCCCGGCTGACCAACGGAGGTCTAGAAGGCGACGGCGCAACAGGTGGCAGGGCAGCTGGAGGAAAGACCACCGCTCCGACCAGTGCTGCAAAGGCGAAGAGCACCGGCCAGGAAGTTTCGGATGAAGACGTGGGCGACAAGGCCAAGCAGGTGGCCCTCAAGAGTTCCAAGGCAAGCGGTGGGGCCGCCGCTGCCGGATTGTTGGACAAGAAGGAAATTTCGGACGACACGGAATCTGACGACTCCACCGAGAAGCCAAAGGGAAAGACGTCGGGGACCAAGCGCAAGAGCGCCGCGGTGGCCTCACCCACCCAGAGATCCAACAAGCGTGCCAAGTGGTCGGGCAGCAACCAGGTGCAGCATTTCATGCGGGCGCATCAAAACAAGCATATCGGAGGCGATGGACGTGTTCTATCGGGACTGGGACACTTCGCGATGGCCGTCCGCCACCCAGAGACTGGTCATGAGGTGATGGCCGCTTTGGTCGACCTCGACCAGAAGGCCATTCTGGAAGCCGAGACCAAGCGTGTGAATAACCGGATGAAGCGTGAGCTTGAAGACGAGGTAGACCGGCGGGTGGCCGAACTCCACGACAAGGATTACGATGAGGACCTGAGCCGGGCAATCGTGAAGCGCTGGAAGGCCGACAAAGGCGAGGCCGAGTATGATACTCGTCGCGAGTCGCGGATGGTGGCCATTCGGTCGGAGATGGCGGCAACTCGCGGGAAACTCCTGGACGGCGCCAACGGGCCCACTCGTGGGCCCGATGGAGGAATGGTGTGCAAGGTCCCTTGGCCAGGCAGCAACATCGGCCGAGGAGGCAACGGCGGCACACCTTGAAGCGGTGCCGGAGAAGCTCTCCATGTCCGACAGTGCCCGGGCGTGGGAGCAAACGAAGTAGAGCAGGGAGCACCTGACTGGAATGGCGGTATAGTCGTTCAACGACAAGGGCACGGTGCTGGACGAACAAAGAAACAAACCAGCAAACCCGCAGACGGGCCATGAAACACAGGCCGACGATATGGTCGAAGCCAATGGACGGGCATATGAGCCAAATCCAACAACCAATATTGCATGCGTGGATAGTATAAAAAAATTAGGACAGAAAAATTAAAGGAAGGAAACTGATCCAGTAACTAGTTTAGAGCGAAAGAAAGCTACTGGCGTGAATACATTTAGGTGTACCCAGGAATGGTAGTGCATAGTACGTGCTGTAGTTGCACTGCACCATTGTCATCTCCAGTAGCAGAACCAGCTGAGGCGGAACCAGGGAATCCCGCAGGGATTCGGGAAATTATCTACGGAAGCCAGCCGGGGCCAGGCTTAAGCAAAGAACAGTCTAAATTCAGGACTAGGTTCTGAGGGATCAGGGGCAAGAAATTGAGGACCATTACGGGGGGCAAAGGGTTTGGCTTGTTAGATCTCCATGAATGAAAGCCGAAGTCAGGTCTTACTTTTGATTGTACGGTACGGAGGATGAGATCAAGCTGCCACGAGAGAGGCAAGGCAACGCATCAGCCAAGAGGAAACTCAAAGGAGCGTTGAAACTTCTTATCCGAACTACGACGTCCACGCTGACCGCTATCACTGCAATCCCCTTTCAATTTCTTTTGGTCTGCAAGAACAACAACGACTACCACTACAACTACTGAGACGGGCGAGAAAAACATGGCGGATCCAAGACTTGCCGCCTTTTAAAACAGCGGCCTTCGTTTTCTCAAAGCTATTATAGAGCAGATTAGCTTCAGCAAGAGCAGCTTCTTTGATGCCCTGAATATTGCGCGTTGATTGATCCTATGAAGAAGGACAAGGCTCTCGAAACGAACAAGGACTATCAGTTTGTTACCCAAAACTTGGACTTGGCACACCTACGATTCAGGCACGCTGCAGAATACGAAAAGGGGTATGTGCCTACTCCCCTTGACCTGGCAAATGTGATTCCAAGGAATGCGGACATCCTCAAGACCTCAAAGTGGATACCGTTAGCGATCCGAGTGATGTGTCGGTAGGACCCAGCGGACTATCCGCAGATGAGCAGGATCATGGTCCGATTCTTCTACCAAATGGACGATGTCCAGAAGAGCAGGAAATACTCGACCGGCTGGCTTTAAGATTCTCAGAGTACATGGGGCGCTACTACGACACCGCAGCTTTAGCTGCTCCCAGGGTGCCCCTACAGGAAGTGGCGCTTCTAGAAGACAGTATTCCTGCTGATCATCATCCGCAATAGTCACTACATTACCAGCAAGTGCTTTGGGGCTATGCAATAAGGGAATGATACTGGTAGCCACATCAAAGACACAACTACAGAGCCCAACAATTTTCAGCCAGAGGGTACCAGTAGGCAAATACTATATATGTATTTGGAAACATTGGGAGCATCCAAGATGTTGCAAGAAAGCAACATCATTTGTACATCGGAATAGTACCCACAACTCCCGAGGAGCCCTTTCAAACTTCCACCATTGATCCTTAATAATGAATAATTATTGTACAGAGTCTCCTGTGGCTCCAGTTTTTGTGTGTGTGTGTGTGTGTGTGTGTGTGTGTTCACACCATAGCCAAGGGTGGGTTCCAGATTAATAGTATGGATGGTATCATCCTCCAGGGAAGTTTCAACCTGGATCTAAATCTCAGTCTTAGCCCAATTGAACTCTTTCTTGTGAAGTTCCTTGAGCAGTTCCCAGGAAGCCTAGCTAGCAGAAAGCGGAGGGTATGGTGGGTGGTGGTTATATTGGAATTTGTGTTTGCACTGTATTTACAGGAAGCTGTAGGGACTGGTGCTGAACTTGTGCTGTTGAGAAGATGCCTCGGAGAGCATCACTTAGCCTATGTGTTTTGCTTAGCCCAAGTTTATTGCGCCAAAGTGTATTGCTGTTTTATGTGTTTTGTTTAGGCTAAGTGTTAATTCAGTCACTTTTTGCTAAAATCGTATGTTAAACTAACACTTTTAGACTAATAAGTGGATTTACGCGCAATTAAGCCAAGCGAAAATTTGTGAGGGACAAATCACCCTACCGATACCGGTACACTGTGTACCACTGAGCTTCAAGTACCCGAAGTTTACCTCGGCAGGTAAACTGCCTGAGTTCTCAACCCCTTTAATGCTATTTCCTATTCCGGTGAAGCCAAAGTATAAGGATAGAGATAGTCATAAGCTAACAAAACTGAACATTGATGGTTCAATACAAGTTTGGGGTAGGAATAAATCGTTAATATTTAAGGTTAGTGCAATCATCACAAAAGCACAATAAGCCAGCAGGAGCTGTAAAGGCTAGAGTTACAATAAGGGAATAGCAGCTGGAAAATTATAGAGTAGCGGGCGGCAACACACGACGTAGTCGGCTAGCTTAATAAAAAGAAGGTTGCAATGAGGGAATGAATGATACCGGGCGGCAACACACGACGTAGTCGGGTCTTGTCGCCAGGGCTAGCTTAATAAAAAGAAGGTTGCAATGAGGGAATGAATGATACCGGGCGGCAACACACGACGTAGTCGGGTGTTGTTGCCAGGGCTAGCTTGAAAGATGGGTGCAATCCGAACATGATCCTCCTTCTTCTATCTGTCTTTCTGCCGAGGTATCGCAGCTCCCGCTGACTTAAAAAGTCCCGCCAAAGAAAGGAAGAAAGTACATAAGTACCATTTAAAGAACCTTTTTGACAGCATGTTTCGTACTAAAATGCTCAATAATAATTGTATTTTTCGTTTTATAGTTCCACTCATTCAACATACCGTTAACGGTAAGGCGGCGTTTTTGGATTTTTTGGTTCGAATGGGATCAAAAAATCTTCTTCTTTTTTTGTTGCTGCACCATTTATTTGGTCCGTCGTCACGTCATCACTTCCCCCCAATCGCTGGTCAATGACCAATGACCAGAGATCGTAAAAACGGGATCGGTAGAAGAAGGCCACTAAGCCCTGTATTGCAGATGGATTCAAGGAACTAATCCTCCTTCCTCCTTCTACTATGCTAACCACAGTTTCTTCTTGTTTAAATCTGGGTCTCAGTTGCCGAATCCATGGAGAATTAAATCCTCGTACACTACTACGAGTCGAGTGGCAGTCTATATATGTATTGGTGTGCACTGCGAATACTACAGTACAGGTACCACACTGTGATGATACTGGTACTCGCTCGTACCGGTACTGTACAGAGCTTTTACAGCGCCTGTTACATGAATGTCGTGATTGCCATCATCGTCGCTCATCTCTAGACCAGTATCTCTACATGTAGCGTCTACTGATTTTCGACACTGAGTGGCTGTGCCCTCTAAGACTTAGTTAGAAAGTTAGTGATGCTTCCTCATCGCGCATGAGTACGACTCGGCTTCAACGGTGAAGGCATCATTAAGACGCTATGAACACTTACTGACGCGCAGGTTGTTTCTGTGCACTTTTAGTAACATCACTTCAAAAAGGCCAAAGATTCGATAAATAAATACTACAGTAAAGATGTTGAACAATCAATTTGTCCGGGACAAAGCATTAAAATTGACATTTGATAAATAGAATACTGCCCCTCATTATCCCCAACAAGAAGGCGACTGATGAATTGGTACTAACAGTTAAATCTTCCTGTGGCTATCCAGGATACTGTTGGCACGATTGGTGATCAATGTGAACGATTGGAATCCATTTCGGATGTCGCTCTGTTAATTGATGGTGTTTATGTTCCTCAATGGGACATCGTTTCGTGCACCCATGTTCTACCGTTGCCTTTTTCTTTCCTGTATTGACGCTTTTTGTAATCCAGGATAGTTGAAAGTAGCAAAATTGTAATTTGTTTGAAAGATTTTTATTCTTAGAAATACGATGGATAAATGAATTTCGCTTTTCCAAATCCACCCAAAGGCTTCATTTGTGTGTTATTTGAACCATTGGTTTCTACACCTTTACCAAGGTTTCGGTAGTGTTGTTCTGTTCGGTGAAGTTAACAAACACCGACCACCGGTATCGTCCGCACTGTACCGGTAGCCAGCTTTACAGCGACGTTCATTCCTGCATTGCCATCCAACTCGAGGAGCGAGGAGCTCCCAACATCTCACACAAAATCTCACCAACGACCTCGATCTCTCTAATATCATACTTCCATCTATCGTTGCTTTATTAAACTTTTTGATTGACCATGGCGTCCACATTTGAAACTACCCCCACCAACAGCAAACGCAAGGCCGAGATTGCCTTGGCAGAAGCTCTTGTGGATGGCGTGAACAAGGCCAACGAGAGTGTCCTCACTGCTACTACCAGCCAAAACTCTCCTTTTGATGGCCATCAGGGTGAAACAGTTGCTGATGCAGCCAAGTCACATGAAGGTACGTTCTCTCTGTGTTACGTCTTTTGGCTTTCTGGGTCACTTCTGTCCGGTGGGTTGCTTCTATTTAATTGGATTGGTATCTCACCTTGCCATTTTCATTCCATTCTGTACCGTGCTATTACTTTCATGGCTTATACTCTCATGGATAATCACAGGAGATCGCCCTCAAAAGAAAGCCAAGTCGGAAATCGATGAGTCCACAGTTGCTACAACTCAAGAAGCCATTGCGGCCAAGCTGAATGCCATGTCTAAAAAGTCCAACTTGAGTGACTACGAAAAGTGCAGCATCTTCCCTCAAAAGCTCATGCAGCTGCTCAAGAATGACGAGGCTCCAGATGCTATTTGGTGGCTCGAAGATGGCGAATCCTTTGCCATTGAACAGGAACAGTTCACCAAGGTCATGAACAAGGTCTCTCGTACCAGCAAGAAAAAGGTCAAGCTCGATAGCATCCTCCGTAACTTGTACCGCTGGGGATTCAAAAAACTCAAGGACCGCGACCTCCCTCCCAATGTATTGGCATATTCACACCCCAAATTCAAGAGGGATGCCTCTGTCGAGCTTCAGACGTTTTCCAAAAAGCCCGAAAAAGCAACTCCAGCATTCCGTCCCAGCATGGCCGCTCCTCCTTCGGCACTGGCGCGTGCCCTGAGTGCCCGGGCTCAAGCGGGATACGGGGATAACTGGAATGAAGAGGGAGCGGCAGACAAGTCGTCCATGATGATGCATGCCGCCTCGCAGCCACAGAACCCGTACGACATGTTGACCGGTGGCGGACAGCAGCGCCTCATGATGCAATCCGTCATGTTGCAGCAACAGCAGCAACAACAACGGCAAATGTTGCTCCAGCAAGAGTTGTTTTATCACGAACAGCAGCAACGACAGGCCCTTCTTTTGGAGAGAGCATCCGCGGAACGTGCTGCCTATGCTGCCCAGCGATTTGCGGGTGCTCCTGCTCCTGGCTTTCATTCCTCGGCTTCGGCGTTCCACCAACAACCTCCTTATCCATTCTAGAATAATGGAACAGCCAACCTTTTCCTGTCCGCCTGCTGCATCAGTCTGATGCGTCCCGTAACGATTTTTGATCTTGCATTCCATGATTTGAAGAGCCAAACTGTAGCCTAACAATTCCATAGTAAGAAAATTCCTATTTTTTTTCTGCTTGTTTGATGGATGGCTATTAACGGGAGATTTCCCAACTAGGTAGAACAACCAATGACCACACTGGTCTATTATGCAGTCGGCGGACTTTGGGGTGATTGCCACTGCACAATCCCAAAACTGAATCTTAGGACTGACGCCCCAAGGATGCAAGGAGAAAGGTAGGAATTTCTTTCATCCAATTTATGAATAGTGGTGTGGAAAGAATTCAGCCTCAGTCAAATTTTTCTCTTCTCCTTCAGGAAAGTCTAAACCAAGTTGTTTAATCTTTCGATTAAACCAAGCACCATTGACAACTTTGACAGGGTAATTTTTGGTACCTCTGTCAATCTGTTCTTGCAAGATGTAGTTGAACGATGGTTGCAACCAGCTGATGTTTCCCCAGTGCAGTACTTCATCCAAGTGGTTGATGGATTTGAAGTTAGCATCATTGTTGCCCACAACAGCTCGTACAACCAAGATGAGCTGACACAAGAAACTTCGAATGTTATTAGCGGCTCTGCTGCTTAACGTTGTGTACCGTTGGAACCTTCGAATCTTCAATCGCCGCCTTCCGACCGCCACTTTTGTCCTTGTCCGGTTTGCTTGTGTCCTCTCCAGATTCCTTTCCTTATTCGGTGCTCTTCATTGCAGCGTACAATACTAGCTAGTATCATCCAAGAGGAGCATTGCTCGGTGCTTGTTATCTTGAGAGTGCTGTTATCGGATTCCTTCTGGTCTGCATGCAGAAAAGCCATTGTGTATCCCAATCTATACTACTACCGGTAGCCAGTCATTGCTGGAATCCAACTCGATTTCGTCTGCCATCGACGGTTCTATTGGCCACTACAGCTTTGGCATCTCTATCCGTGTTGATCCATCCAATCCAAGCGGCAAGTTTTTCTTCTTATTACAACATGAATTCTATTACAGAAAGAGATGGGTCAGGTACCATCACAATGACACCCCGAAATGAGGCGGATCAGAGTGCTTTACTGGTGATTTGCCACGGACTAGGCGATACCTCGGATGGATTCGATGATGTAGCCGAGGTGAGTATCTTTGAGATGTATATATCTCCATCGCAATTGGGAGAGCGAGAGAGGAAACAGGGGTAGCTCCAGAGGGATGATGAAAAAGAAAAATGCCGCTGCTAAGATTGATTAGATGGATGATTGGAATCTCTAACTCGTGCTTGTTTCTATTGCATTCGGTCACGATCCTATTTGATTATCTCCCCTTGGAAAACAAAACAGCATTTGTGTCGCAAGCTGCCTTATTTGAAGATAATTCTCCCAACAGCTCCCACACAACCTGTCACAATGAACATGGGAATGGCAATGCCTTCTTGGTACGATATCAAGGGATTGGATATGAAATCCAACGAGCAATGCGATGGTATCGAAACCAGTCAGAGTCGAATCGAACAAATATTGCAAACCGAACATGAAAAAACTGGATTGCCGTACAGTCGTATGGTATTGGCTGGATTCTCCCAGGGTGGAGCCCTTGGTTTGTACACGGGCATGCAATTGAAACCGGTCGACAAAAAGTTGGCGGGGGTTGTCGTCTTGAGCGGATACTTGCCCCAGCAGAGCAAGTTCACAATCACACCTGGCATGGAAGATACTCCCATTTTGCATTGTCATGGTTCACAAGATCCGGTCGTCATTTATCCCATGGCCCAAATGACCCAACAAGCATTGACTACCTTGAAGGGTGCCACCAATTACGAACTCAAAACATTTCCCGTTCAACACACTGTCAGCCCACAGGAACTAGTGGCCGTCGAGGAGTTTTTACGAAAATGTTTGCCTCCGGATGATTCCTGCAAAATCAAAGTCAAGGACGCCAAAGAAATGAGCATCAAAGAGCTCAAGGCGGCCATCAAAAAGGCTGGCTTGTCGAACAAAGCGACGGGGTTTTGCGAAAAGAGCGAGTTTATCAAGTTGGTGCAAGATCATCGTGACGGAAAACTATAAACAAACAAACAAACAGCAAAACTCCACCACCAACAATTCGCCAACAAACATCGAGACAGGAGAAAATTGCGAAGCGGTGGCGATGGTTTTGTGGCAGTTTCATAGCAGAGAGTCAACCTTTTGGACTGATCTGTTATTTTCATGGTTCGCTCCCGTTCACTTTTGGGTACTGGAGAATAGAATGAAGCAGCCACAAAATGATCTATAACAAAAAGAACATGAACTAAACTTCGTACGGGCAGCCACTGGGCGCAATAACTTCTAGCTAGCTGGAAGCGACTACTTTACCGTATTGTATACCGGCACAACTCGAAGAACGAGTGCAGTGAGTCTGAAACGAGACTGAGGTACGGCGGCGACCTCGATAGTACTACGTAAAGCTCTTCCCAACAACCTGCTACTACGGCTTTTAAGTTCCAAAAGAGTAGTTAGAACTGTTTGTGTGCGGAATAGTTCCCTCCGGTCTCATCATCAATTACGGTGGCTAGCTAGTCAGTTACTGAGGGAGGAATTCTGCTTGGGTCTTGCAGTGTAGTTTGTATGCCTGTCTCCTTAGAATGCCCCTTTTCCTTCGGTCTTGGTTTGAATTTCAAATCGGTCCTCCACCTTGATCAAATGATACCCAAATGAGGTCTTGACGGGTCCGACAACTTCTCCAATGGCTGTTTCTTGATTAAAAACAACGTCATCAAATTCTTTCACCATGTTTCCCGGCTCAAAAGTTCCCAAGGAACCACCCTTGGAGGCGCTCGGACAGGACGAATAGTCTTTGGCGGCTTCAGCAAAAGGTTTTCCCTCGGAAATTTCCTTTTGCACAATTTGGGCTTCGTCTTCGGAATCAACCAAGATATGAGAGGCAGTGGCCCGGCGGTCATCATATGCTTCGTTGGCAAAGGCATTGTTGATGAAATCAAACATGCCCATGGAGCGTGCTGTGGTACTTGTAGTACGTTGACCGGGCAACTGCTGTGGTGCGAATGCAGCAGTAGAAACAACGACCAACAGCATCAGAAACAAAACATGCTGATTCCAGCATCGCTTCATGTTGTTCGTACCAACTGACACACTCATCTTTGCGTTCACAACTCGATCTTTGATAGCTTTATGTCAGAAGAAGAGGAGGGAGACTGTTGAAGGATCAACTCTGAGCCACTTTGCCACCGGTGCGGTGTATCTTTCTTGGTGAGTGAGTCCCCATTGTCTGACGTCATCCAAGATTCCCACGCCACGGTTTGGTCTTCCCGTGGTGCCAAGCGCCACGAAACTTCACCATGCCGGGTGCTGCTAGCTATGGCTCACATCTCGCTCTTGGCTCCTCCCCCAAGGTGCTCAGTCTCCCTGACGACGAAGATGATGTAGCTGACACCCATCTTCAAATCATGCTGCTCGTCTGGCTGAGGCTCAGTGGGCCCTTGCCACAAAACTTGGCTGTTGCCCCTCGCGAGGGTACTATCAAACGGCATAACGGCTACTCGGTACCTGGTACGAGGTTCAATAAGGACATGCAGCCAATACCAGCAAATCGGATCAGCATTACGCTGCATTGCCCGTTCATATTCCCCGCGTCGCATTGGCAGATTTTTTGATTGAAGACGGCTGGAACAACAACTCATTCTTCACAATGAAGCAAACTGCTGGTGCAAGGCGCTGGCCTGGATGGCCTCTTTGGGCATGCGACTCGACTCATCAGGAGTGACCCCAGCATTGCAGTGAATAGTGAAGGTGGCTCCCATGGGAGAGGAGCTGTCGCTTAGCTAGCTAGTGTTGTCAACCGAGCGGCGTTCGCCTATCAAGCAAAGATGATGTTTTCAATGCTTTTGTGATATCTCGCTACAGCTAGCTAGTTGTCAAAGCTACAAGTTGTGGAAAGGTGATTTTCAATTGTGTTTTGTTATATCTAGTTACAGAAGTGGGTTAGCTACTAACCATCTCAGAAAAGGTTAACTTTCTCCCAACAGATGGCCCCCGAGCAAGTGAGTGGATTGATTGTGAATGGATTGCATCATTGACTTTGCACGTCAGTGAGCACTTTGTAATCATAGTTGTTGGGTTTACGAACGTTCACCACGGATGCGGCGGGCGAGCTGGATGTCCTTGGGCATGATAGTGACACGCTTGGCGTGGATAGCACAAAGATTCGTATCCTCGAAGAGCCCTAGTAGGTCATATAGGAAAAAGAGAGAGATGTGAGCAACATGCTGCCATCATCATGCTGCCGTTGTTCCGTGGGTGGTGCGCAATTTCCAATACTCACCAACAAGATAGGCTTCGGCAGCCTCCTGGAGAGCCAAAACGGCCGATCCTTGGAATCTACAAGCATGAACAATGGAGAAGGTGGACTGTGAGTTCAGCAGTGATGGTGCCATGGCGGCAATCATGTCCAACCCCAACAAGGTATTGTACTTACCGAAGATCAGACTTGTAATCTTGGGCAATCTCACGGACAAGACGTTGGAAGGGAAGCTTGCGGATGAGGAGGTCAGTGCTCTTTTGGTAGCGACGGATCTCACGGAGAGCAACAGTTCCAGGGCGGTAACGGTGGGGCTTCTTGACACCTCCTGTAGCAGGGGCACTCTTGCGGGCAGCCTTTGTGGCCAACTGCTTGCGGGGAGCCTTTCCTCCGGTGGACTTGCGGGCGGTTTGCTTGGTTCGAGCCATGATTGCAATTGAGGTTGAAGAAGATAGATGAAGAAGGTAGTCGAGATGAAGCTTTCGAGTTTGTTCTAAGAGCGAATTGTGAGATGAAGTTGGAGGTTGACCCTCCGCAGACCCCAAAAAATGGTGCGAAACGTTGTCGCACGCCACGCCGAATTCAAAATGGTAATTAGACCGGGTTGACATACTCTAGGAATGCGGACTTTGAGCGCCCGACAATGGCGCGAACAATGCTGACCCTTCTCTATCCCTAATGCAGATTCACTGCTTTCGAATTGTTTCATTGCTTACTCTAGCTAGTAGACGTATGGAATACCGTAAAAATAGTTGTACCTGGTACTACTCCACACTCCACGGACCTATGTTGCTTTGGTGCTTGAATCATTTCTAGAAGAGTACTAGTATTGCTCCGTTGAACCGGCGCTTTATTAGGATTCGATTCCATCTCACTCTAGCTGTTTCGTTCAGTGGTTGGCTTTGGCTGTCCGCTTCTTGCGAGTAAGTCTTCTTTCTTCGAGAGGTTATCTCTTTCTCCCTCTCCTCTGAACTCTGAACGAACTCAGCGGACACCCTATGACAAACAAGATGGCGTCCAAACGCTACGCAGTGGAATTACTATAGTACAGAGTTAGTTGTGCTTCTAATGCAACCATAAGTTGTGCTTCTAATGCAACCGTAACTGCATTTTGAATCATAATGATGACTTGCTCACGGCGCTGCCATGACGGCATCGATATCTAACTGGAACACTTTGACTGTCTTGTCGTCACTGGCCGTCACAACGACAGCATTTCCTGCTGCAGCAGTTCCAACTCCTGGGGTGAACGAAACGTCCATATCATTGATGACATCGGCGTGTCCTGTGAGAGTGTGTATCCGTTGTCCATTTCGAGCATCCCAGAGGTGCAGCTCTCCTCGACACGTGGCCGTCACCACCAATGGCAGCGTTGGGTGCCATTGCAGTTTAGTAATTCCATCTCCCTGCGGCTGACTAGTGTTTTCGTTGTTGACTCGACAAGCATGCCGACACTGTCCTTGATTGGCTAGATCCCAAATTTTGAGGACACCGTCCATTCCACCAGTGGCACACCAGTTCGGATTGGATTTGCAGAATCCAACAGCTTCCACACCCGACGGCACCATGACTTCTTCGTCTTCCATGTTGTTATTGCTGTTTTGTGGTTGCACTGTCGGATCGTAGTGTCGCAAGGACGCCACTTGTTTTTTATTGGCCACATGACACACATGGGCTTGTCCATCTTCGCCACCTACCATGACCAATTGTTGATCGGTTCCACCGTGCGTGGCCAAACAAGTCAATGCGGGTGGTGGCGTTCCGTCGTGAGCCGCAAAACGAAAGACATGTTTGGATTTTCCCGTTTTGGGTGCCCAAATGCGCAGGGTTCCATCGGCACTGGCACTGAGAGCGACTTTTCCATCGGCGGAAAATGCCCCACACGTGACGGCGTCTTCGTGTCCGACAAATACTTGTAGACATTTATTGAGAGACGTGTGGAACATCCAAATGGTAGCATCGGACGATCCCACGAGCAGCACATTTCCACCCTTGGGGTGCCAACAGAGCCATTCAATATCGGCGGAAGGACCTTCGAGAGGGAGTACTTTTCCTCCTGGTCCAAACAGAACCACCGAACCATCCAGACCTCCCACGGCCATCCATTCTGGATTGGGTGGCTTGGTAGTATCAAAGGCCACATAGGGTGAATTACTGGCAACAGAGCTGACACTGTCCTTGAATTGATAATGAGATTCCAGTGGAGTAGATTGTACTTGTAGGACTGCCGCGGCGGGAATGTCATGCCAAAACGCCTTGTCGTCTCCACCTCCCGACACAATTCGCAATGTCCCGTCTACAGTACTAGTGGTACAGGCTACCGCATACACGGGGTCGGAGTGAGAGGAGATGGTAACTTTGGCCATGTCCACAATGGGTTCTTGATCACTGATGAGATTTTCCAACTCGTCGTCGTCATCATCATCCTCCATGGGAATATTGTTGTCATCCACCGGAACTTCGACGGCGTCGCCTTCTCCCACAAACAAGGGAGTGTCATCCACATCATTATTACTATTATCTTGTTCGGGGTATTCAATGGCGTTCGTTTCCATGCCTCCTGCCTCAGGCGATTCTTCCATCATTTCATTTTCCATTATTAACGATCAAGAAGTGGTAGATTAGTAGCTGTAGTGAGTTGAGTCAACCTCAAACTGGAAGTTTATCAACTATCAGATTCTTTTCGGCTGCCTGTGGAAGAAATAATGAGACGAGCTTGCTGTTGCTGTTGTTGCTCTGAATGGATGGTGGTGGCTATGGTTCGAAACCGGAAGCTCTTCGAACATCGTAGATGACCGAAACGTGCTTATAAGAGTAAGTGCGCGTCTCAAAGGGATCATTCCCACCAGGATAACCTCGGAGGCTGATGCCAAGCCACTCGGTGAGCCGATCGTTCGATGGCTACATGCTGGGCAAGGCTATTGAATGTTCTACATTTTATTCGTTCGTTCCAGTTCCATCCCTCTCTTTGGCTGTATCTAATCCCAAAAGGGTGTGACTACATGCACATATATATTGACTATCCCACGACGGAGCCATCGTGCATGGTCGTGTTGTTGACTGCGTACCGGTACGGTATCGTTGCAGATGCAAGTAGTGCGTACTGTACATCAAGCATTGAGAACCAATTGCGGCCATTGAAAGGATAGATTGAAACTTTCGTTGGTGGCTCACAATGATCCACAACCGGATGACAGCCATTTATTTGCCTTGTGATCTATTCCCAACCAACCCCAAACAACAAGGAGAGGTGCATTTTCTTTCACATCACACCTACGTAACAAACTAATGAACGCAAAAGGTGAGCAGGAAAAGAGACGGTAGATGTGGGAACATAGATGATGAAGAGCTAGACTACATAGAAATCGTAGCGCTGGAAAAAGATGTGGGTAGAAAAAGCAGAGAGCGCTTTCGTGACAACGTTTAACGTCTGTCTTTGTGTGCGTCTAAACTGAACGCACGATTGAAACAACTTAGTTTCCTTGAGAGTTTTTTCGCCGAAATGTGGAGGCACGACGATGAGGTTCTTATTGACAGAATTGACACTGCTGCCAACCTCTCGTGCTTAACTAAAACGAAGCGAGCAAGCAAACTCACCAACATCCTTTGCATCCATGTCGAACAAACAGCCACAAGTCTCAATACTATTGTTGTAGTGGCTGCTGACGAGAAAAGGAAGGAAGAAAGAAAGGGCTTGGAATCCATCAGTCTTCTTGTCGCCGGTAGTTCCGATCGGTCGTACCGTAAGTATTTCTTCTCTGCGTGGTCTGGTAGTACAGCCAAGTTTTGTTATCTATCTTCACATCAAAATCGTAGAGTATTCCAACACATGGTAAGTCAGAAACTTCTGCAGTGGCTGGCTGGTGTATGTTTGGTCACGGCGCTCATCATTGATTCCTATGCACGGTACTCTGTCCTACGCTGCTACATACCACAGGATTATCAGATTCTCTACGTTGATGATGCCTTCCACGGTGGAATATGTGTTTGCCGCATTTATATCTATGCTTGAAAACATTGGATCCAACCCAAATATTGGAAGTCTCCTCTAACTAGATCGGTTGTGTTTTCGCAACGTGGGTGTCATTTTCGCTGCGGCGTCAACACGGCCAACCAGAAAACACGCTCCGTGCTGAATCAATCCTTGTCGATCGTTTGTCTCAGCTTGTTATCCATCCATCCACAAATTTGACCACAACCATCATTGATTGATTGGACTGATCACTCATCATCACTTTGTTCATTGCTGCATCTATCTTGTTTCATTCAGACAAACATCCAACCATGGCATTGTACAGTCGAGTAGAGTACTGGAATGAGCGCTATCAAAAGTCACGGTAAGAGGAGTTGCAGTATGGTGTACCGACTCAGAAAGACCCATGGTTATATCTGCGTGTCTATCTCTAAACTCAATCTCTCAACTTTTCTGTCATCCCATGCTGCCCACTCATTGGAACTTTCTACGCTACCCGGCCAATCTCAGCAACCAACCTCCTTACGAATGGTACCAGAGTTTCCATACCTTGTCTCACCTCCTCAACCCCGAAACACTCTCTGGGTGCTCTGTTTCCGCCAGCCACTTGAACTTGAACAACACGCCGGATAATGCGGACGACGATGCTTCTGCATCCACTACCGCAATGACCAATGCTACCAAAGCCAAGGCCTTTCAATGCTTGCATCCCAACAATTGCCGTGTCTTGGTCTTGGGATGCGGAAACTCTGCCTTTGGTGCCAATCTTTTCGAAGCGGGATGGAGAGGCGGCAACCAGTCGGACCGCCAACGCTTTGTCCAGGTGGACTTTTCACCGGTTGTCATTGACCAAATGAAGGCACGCTACAATGACGAATACTATCGTGGAGTTCTTGGCAATACCAACAACAGCAAGGCCCACATGGAGTTTCTCTGCTGTGACGTCACTCAAGCGCCCTTGCCCTTTGAAAATGGATCCTTTGACTTGATTATCTGCAAGGGCGTCTTTGATGCCGTCCTTTGCAGTGCTGGGTCTGTGTTCAACATTCGGCGCATGGTCAAGGAATGCATTCGCTTGTTGAATGACGATGGCGGGGTCTTGATGGTGGTGACATATGGTAACCCGGACAATCGAGTCGTCTTTTTGGAGGATGAAGAGGGCGAGCTCGATACATACTGGCAAGGTGTCAGTGTCCACACGGTGCCATCCATGGTCCGTGGCCGCAAGGGTGGTGGTCACAGTGGAAACAAGTGAGTGTCATGGGATGGATTCAGCCTGCTGCACTAGTCTATCCAACCTGGTTGTGTTGCTCACGTTCTTTCTTGCTTTCACAGAAGCGACTTTGTCTATCTTTGCCGCAAGAAAAGGGGTGCTTGGAAGGAGAGCTACGCTCTCGACACGGTTGCGTCGACATCTTGCGTCAATCCTGACGTTGGCACTGCTGCCAGGGGCACAAAGGATCCAGAGTCGGAGAACCAGGAGGGGGCCAAGAAGGCCCATTCTGGTGCTACCGCCACGAACAAGAAGGATACCAAGATGAGCGGGAAAGGAACCAAGAACGGAACCAAGGCTGCCTAAGAAGGGTTGAACCCTCCCTTTTGCTTACTTGGCAATCAATACACGCTGTGTTTCATAATACAATGAATGTTCGCAGATGCACACTCAAACACACTCTTGCTGTCCATGAAACAAACATCCCTCATAATAATTGAACTACTAGATAGTGATTTACATACATGTAGTCCTTCCTTACTACGGTATTCATAACTATCATATGCCTTTTCAGTTTTGGCCTAAAATCACTTGGCATCAGTTTCGTATCATCCGCCTCTAGCCATTGTTGTACAGCCACGTTTCGTTGGACAGTTTTGCTTCCTCTCTCTATATATATATATATAACTCTCGCAGATAGATAGATAGATCTCCAGATCTCTATTGCAACGTTTGCAGCGCCACTGGTAGGGAGCATGCTTCCACTTTGCCTCCTGCCGTAACCCGGTGCGACACAATGACAGGCGGTGCCGCGGCGGAAGGTGCATACTCGATCGAATCGGTGAGCATCTGGATCGCCTGTTGTCGTATAGAGTCGTCGCTGACATTGGTGTAGACAGTGGCCACCTTGTCACCTGGTTGGACACAATCTCCAACCGTTTTGTGGAACCACACTCCTGCCGCGAAATCCACGGCATCCTTGGCATCGGTGCGACCAGCTCCCAACTTGACACATGCTTGTCCTACCATCAACGCATGAATGTTGGAGACTACTGCACTCTCCTCTTGTTGTGGATTGTAGAGAATGTCCTGCGTAAAAGTTGCTTGATTGGGGGGGCATTCGTCACTTTTCCAAGCGGGACCGAAACCAAGTGGAGCCCCGCCACTGGATCTGTCACTACAAAACACAGATTACTAACCAAACCAACATAAGCATAAACTAACATCATCTCTGTATCAAGCTCACTTCATCAAGACAAGCACTATTGTGCTTGGAAGTAAGTCAATCAGAGCTATATTCAAAAGTTACATCCCCACAAACATCCCTACAAGTCATCGCGCGAATCAGTGATTGCCATTCCAGAGAATTCCAGTCATCCACGTATACCTGGTACTGTTTCTACAGAGGAGTCATTTCCAAAACGCCAATCACCAACAACCAAATCACAAACACCAACAGGAAATTCGAAGTATCGAGTTGTCTTGTTCGCCCACCGAGACGCTGTTTGCCACTACAAGAAATATCCCCGATCTACTCACTGTCCAAAGGAATAGAATAGGAACTGCATCTGTCAGTCGCAAAGAGCATCTTCGCAGGCATTCCAAAGACGAACGACCGAATCGAAAACAAGAATTCATTCTGTTTGCTCAAAAGAAATCGAGCTGATAATCCTTTGCTCAGCCATAGCAAATTACTTTCTGCTCAGTCCATTCTCGACAACAAGAAAACGTCCTAGTCCACCCCACGCGAAGCCAGCCAACCTCCGAGTCGTACACGACCTCTATCGGCCGACGACTGACACCGAACTGACTGATCGACTACGACGAAGTCCACCTTCGATTTCCCGTTTGCCAGCAGAACTCAGTATCTACACTACTCACCACACACAGTGATCGGTAGAAACTATCTTCCCTACGCACAAGGATTCGGTGAACTCGAGTTGCAAGAACAAGAAATTGGCGCCATCCCTCATTGCAGAGTACCACCACGGCAGGCAACAACATCTCATTCTTCCAACGACCAATCACGATACTACACAGTACCTCCTGTACGATCGTACACAAGAATCACACACGCGTACAGAAGCACCAGCTCCCCTCATTCAAAACAGTGAAAATCGGGCAAGCAAATACTTCTCACTGTGTACACGAATTCTCTAAGACAAATCCACTCGAACAACCTATTCCACAACCAGACGGAGTTAGAAGGATCCAAGGATACACACAACAAGCTCTCACCCAGCTCTATCCAACAGACTATTGAACGCTAGCTAGCACTGACTCAAGCCCTCCAGCAACAGAGACCCCACCGCGCAAGAACCCCTGCTTACAAGAAATTCCCTCGCCTAAAAGACATCCCAACAGCAAGATGGCATCCAAACAGCAACACCAAAAAGAAACAAC